GGAATACCTCCTCGTTACCAACTTTGATTACCTTATTCTTAAAATCCAATTGGAATCCATGCGTATTCATTACGTCCATTCCTAATATAACATCCTCTTCGATGTCAGCAACTATAACAGTATGGACGAACTTTTCTGCTCCAATTCCTAATTGTACCTGGATTTCTCCATGAATGTTGGCATTTTCACCTGTAGCGGTCCGCAGTCGCAACCTCGTTGGTAACAGTTTCTTACGGCTGTTTATAACTGTCGGGCGAATAATGGTTCTTGTCGCTCCAGTATCCACCAATAACGTATGCTTTTTACCATTTATTTCTCCATCTACATATACACTATCTTCACGACATTTCAAAGAAGCTATCAGTATGAGAGGGTCTTTGGAAAAGTTCTGGGTCGAAGCTGCCCCCCTAAGGCCGACCCGTTCTAGTTTTCCTGATGGTGAGTTTCTTGATTTGCGTCGTACCTAGGATGCTTACAAGAACTTCGTACGTGTCCTATTTCGTCACAATTCCAGCATCTTATGGTCTTCGGTTTCTTGTATGTCATGCTTTTCATCATATTAACGAGCTGGTCAAGTTTACCTTCATCTTCTTCCTCTTTTACAGTCCTAACTTTACTGTAACCGCCAGAGGCCTGCGTAGCTGACTCGTATTCGAGGGTGGCGGATAAGACATCAACCAGCGTCTTGTGACGAGCTAATCGTAGTGTTCTTTGCATCTCATGATCACGAAGACCATCAATAAACGTTTGAACGGCCAACTTTTCCATCATGTCTTCGGGAGCTGTTGGATAAGCATATCGCACTAATCTGGCGATATCTACTTCATATTCCTGAAGAGCCTCATCTTTCTTTTGTCTTCGATTTTTGAGCTGCGACTGATATACATGTTCCAAGTGTTTGTGGCCATATCGCATATTTAACCTCTTCTTCAGTTGTTCGAAATCATCCGTCTCCTCTACGGCTATGGTCTGGAGCACATCTAAGGCATCTCCTCGAAGAGCTATAGTCAGGTTTACAGCCTTTTCTTTTTCAGACCATCCATTCGCTCTTGCAGCTGATTCGAACTGTTTCATGTAGTTGTTCCATGATGATTTTCCGTCGAAAGTTGGGACTTTGACATGAACGGAACTTCCACTTCCTTCAAATTTCGGCCGTGTTTTCAACTTACATTTTGTCTCGTCTTCTTTTATCTCTACCGGATCTAAAGCTACCGTATTAATTGGTGGTAGCACTCTCGTGTTAGTTATCATGGTCTCTAACTGTTTGATTTTCTCTTCTACTTTTTCAAATGTTTTGGAAACTTCTTCAAATTTCTCATTATTCTTTTTCGAAGTTTCTTCCATCATTTGAGAAACATTTTCAAATTTCTCGTCGAATCTTTTTGACACATTTTCGAGTTTCTCGTCGTTTTGTCTAGCTACTTCTTTAATACTTTGAGACGTTTCATTGAATGTTTTGGAAACATTCTCATCATTTTTTCTAGAACTCTCTTCGATCATTTGTGAGACATTCTCAAATTTTCCATCGATTATTTTAGTTAAAACGGCTTCTTCTACTGACTGGAACTGGAATGTCTCTGGGTCGTCTCCATTCTTGTTGAGAACAGTCTTCAGTCGTTCTTGGAGGATCTTCTTGGACCCGCTGCAGTCTTCATCGCGTTCTTCTAGTTGCTCACGCAACTGTTTCACTGAAAGTTCTACTAGCAGCATCTTTGGTCAGGCACACACGTACTTTTTAAATGTTCTTTCGTACAACGATCACTACTGAACTACGCGGATGTTCCCGACGAACAATACCTTTCAAAAGTTCAAAAGTCTTTTTCAAAAATCAAATTAAATTTATCTACGATCCCACTTCTGCACCACTGTGAAGTTTATATAGTTCTAATTTATTTGTCTTTATTCTAATTTATTGTCTATAATCTATTTTATTAAAACTCACGATAGCTAATTACTAATTTATTAAATAACTTTACAAATGTATTTATTTCACGTTTCGTTACATTTAAATACCGCGTTTACCGATCTTCTTATGACTAACTCAAATACAAAAATCTTTCATTTATATACACAACTGTTGTCATCTGGAACTTTCGGCAAACTTCCTGAATAATCTCGTATTTGGTGAAGGCGCTCGACTCGTTTTTCAACCTCGAGACGTGGATGACTCACTAAAATTAGTGTCTAGAGATTTCTGTAAACAACTGGTAGCGAAGCTCAGGTATATTTTGACCTACAAATTACGAGAATCAATAAAAAAGAATTAGTCATAAAATATTTACAGTTCTATATGCCATAACATTTAAAATCGTAACAATAGCATGGTTCATCAAGCTGGATTATTTCAGGATTAGAACTTCGTTATTTGACATTAAAGCTGGAGTTAGACAGAGAGGCACACTATCAACCATGTTTCTATTACAAGTATGGTGTGTTTTTGTGGTTTACGAATTTTTCTGCAGTATTTCATATTTTTCACTGACATTTTCGTGGAAGACATGGAAGACGACAATATAATGATGCACCTACGACGATGAAATATAAACGCCTAGGGAAGGAGTGCACGGTGGTAAATTTCAAGACAGAGAAATAATATCGAGGATTATCAGACCAAACGAAGAAGCAAAGATAAAAAAGGACATTATATTGACATTTAAAAACCTCCGAGAATACGATTATTAAAATATTTTTGAGAAATATTATATGAAGAGTGATTTAATCCAGTTTTCTTCTTATTTGAATAATTTTATCTCTTTTTTTTGTCTATGAATAATAGCCAAGAACTATTTAACAAGTCTGATAAAATTGACTGATTTGTCTTAAATAAATTCAGAATTGATTTCCAATATATTTTTTCTCTATGCCAACTCTTTCCTTTCTAGGATTGGGTATAGTCAGCTAAAAGTTTAAAAGGACGAGTAAAAATGCACACAATCATATCCAGCATTAGGACAATACAAACTGTATATTTTCGTTGTCTCTGTGCCTGTTTTTATATGGAAACTCATTGTTTGTAGAACATTAGTCAATTTCGAGTGTTCTGTTACAAAGTGTGTTTTTTACGGTTTCACGAATTTTGTTGTATTTTTTTCATATTTTTCATTTTTTGTATGTCTTTTTCCACCTGTTTCATATAATTGCATTTTCGGTCAGTCTGTTATCCTTACCAAACCCCTTACCAAACCTTGTGTTTCATCTTCATTTTTCTCTTTCATTGTACATCCTTGATATTGACTTGTTTTAGTTTCATATCTTTGTTCTTACTTAAGTTTTATGTCTTTATTTTAAAGGGCTTTAGTTATGCCTTCCTGTCGGAGTCATGCTGGTTATACACCACTATTGTCAAGAATCGTACAGACAAATGAAAATTGTAAAAAGGAAAGTGTTGAATGGATTTATTTTATTCAATTTATATAAAAACACAACAAATCAAGTAACGTCAGACTACAAATCACATTAACGGCAAACTCTCAGGCAGATTTTATTCATTAAAGTATAAACAAGCACTAACATTGTTTACGACTCTTTTTTTAATTTGTCTAGAATGGTTAATTTGAGAAGGTAAATTAAACAGCAGGGTATATTCGAAATCACAACAGAAAAAGTTAATATTACATAGTAGGTACACTACATACGATATTGATAAAACCAAAGACGGGCGATAAAAGAGTAAGAAAAGATGATGAAGCGGAAAATCCTTAAATAGAAAGGCGATCAACATTAGGGGGCAACAACTAGGGACTTCAAAGAATAAAGAGCAATAATTGGGGAGCTATAGACCTGAAAAGTCTGCGTCAGCCATATATAATATACATTTATATCATGATGACATGCAGGAACTACATGACAATTACATTACTTACTGTAATGTACATATTATTATCAAATAATTGCTGTGTTTTATTTATTTATACTTTTTCTTCAAAATCATTATCGCTATCATATAACTGGTTAGCCCAGTAGGTTATTGAACTAAATTAATCATGGAGATTTCGTAAATATATTTAAGTATAGTTCAGTATTCTTGAATGTTGCAATAATCTAGAGAAGAAACATATGGTGCTTAAAGCATAAATAATGATGATTATGACTCTTTTTTTAACCAATATTGCGAGTAAATATCAAATGCGTACTCATGAAAGAATTTGACATATATACGAATCAAAAAAGTTAATTACGTAAGAATGCAACCAGAAGAAAATGGTTACGAAGAATATGAAGTAAAAGCAAACAGAGCGAAAGTAAACACAAATGAAGAGAAATTATTAATGAGATTTAACTATATATCAAAAAATTTAAAAACTAGAGTATATAAGACACTAATGAGATTTATAGAGATAGATAGGTACTGAAAAAATAGGAAATAGACCTTTTATGATAATTAGGATATATATATATATATAGATATATATATATAGAATAATATATATATATATATATGACTGTGATATTTAGGATAATATATGACGATGTTAAGGCAGGTGAGTTAGGGAGAAGAAGAACAATAAATAGTTAGAAGAATTGTGTAAAAAGTAAAAATAAATAAGAAAAAGAAAGTGACAAAATTGGTGTTCTCCTTAAACCAATAAAGAAAAAACGTAAAGTCAGATCGCGAAAAATATGAATAGAGATTGTATACCAAGATATGCATATAATTAACATTAATAATTAGCCGGCAGAAATCTCCTTGGCAGTGGATCGTGGAGAGAATGGCTACAGACCGTAAAGGATGGAGAGGTTTAGGAAGCCAAAAAAAGCAGTACGCAGAGAAATTGAAAGTAGTAAATAAGTGCAAGGAAAAATTATAAAATGAAATGAAGTAAATTTATTAATTAATTATATAAACTATAATTAATAATAAAATGTAAATAAAACAACCCTAGACCTTTATGCTTAATAAATAAATAACTAATGCCGTCTGTCCCCTTTTCGAGCAATATTTTTCTTTGTTTATGTATAGTATAAGATGATTGACACCTTTTGATATTTCTTGTTTCAAGGAAAAGAATCGGACGAGTCCGGCACGTCCGATGGGGCAATGTATGTCTCGTAAGGCCGCGGGAGCCTTTGCAGCATCGGCAGCGGTGTCCCAAAATCGGCCGGCAAAAATTCAGAAACATCAGAAATTTCAGGTAAGTTTGTTTGTCAGTTGCGGTGCGAAGCATGTTTTATGGTATAATATAGATAGTTATATGAACAAGGTCAGTTATGTTGTTTGAGTTTTGTGCCATTGTGGCAGTAGTAAAATATGCAAAAGGTATATTGTTTACTAGAGCACAATATAATCTTGTTTTGTTTCCTGACCTGTTTTAGTTATTTCTGAATTCATTTATTGTTATTTGAGTTTTCTTTTTTGTTTTATTATTGTTTTGGATATAGACACATGGTTTGTATATAAGCTTAATATTATTAGACAAATTAATATCAAACGTACCGGTTCCCAGGCTAAACCGCATCGAATTTGAGTACGATTTCGACTACCTCTCTAATGTTTTCATCAGAGCTTTCGAATTCTCCGGCTCCTGAGTCCTCAGAGTAGTAAGTGATCCTCAGATAACTTGACTTGTACACTGTTCTTTGCACTTCTACTGATTGGGCGGGGCACAGGTAATTTATACTGTCGATTGTGACTTGGTTCACTGATATGGTAAATTGTATTTGCTTCTTTTCTTTATTAAGGATCTACTACAGAATTATTGTCCAAAAGATATAACTTAGCATTGAGATCTTAATAAAACTAAAATAGCGATAAAAATCATATTCACATTTACTACAAAATAAAACCGATCAAATTCGAAAATTTGAACAATATAATATAGTATTAATAGGATAAATGCAGAATACTGTTAAGTCTTTATTAGTTCTAATTTATTGTTTTTATTATTTTTTTACTAAAGGTTCAATATTTATAACACTTACAAATTTAATTTATTTAAAGTTTATTTATATTAACTTATTTTACAATAATGTTTATATTACGATAGTAACATTTAAATGCCCGTTCGCGATTTTCTTCTGACTAACTTCTTTCAATGAAAATCATGTTATATACTCATTCAGCTGGTAGACTAGAAGAGTCGATCGCCATCTCGTCTGGTATAGAGTTTCTCGAAGCGGGTAGTGACCTTCCGGAACAAACTCGATCGCTGTGCGGTCAGACTGGGTTTTTATAGCAGCCTCTTCCGGAAAGTTCGACTCGTCGGAGACCCATCAGGTATTAGATGTAATTTCTACCGGCTGACAATCTAGAACATATCAGAATTAGAAAGAATATGTCTACAGTTTTTATGAATCACAATATTTTTTATCGTAACATTGCCCTCCTGGAACCTTGTCGGGACTGTAACTGGAACGGCATGCTGGTATCGGCAACTGGACCCTCTTTTACAACTTCCAGTTGTATAAAAATGACAAGGGACGGTTTTCTCTCCGCACCAGTAACTATGCGGATTACAACAGACTAACACCTGGACTTCGGTGTCCTTCCACCGGATCTCTTCCACCATATTCCGGATAATCGTCCAATCTAATTGGCGGCACTCCAACTTTCTCATGGCTAACTTTTGTACGTCGAACTCTAGTACGTGCTCTCTCAATTGAAGTAAAAGTTCCCATACATCTCGGTAGGTAGGTTGGTCACGGGCAGTGTCTTTTGTTACCAAATAGAAAAGGTAACGTGATGCATCTTGGAGTTTCAAGGTTTTACCGGAAGCTGGCATTTGGCATTGAAGTTCTGCAACTCGACCAAACTTCCTTCGAAAGACGGATGCCAACCTTGGTGCGTCTTTGATACTGGCCGAGATGGTAAGGGCCAGTGAGTAGTCATCGGGAAGAGCGAGTAGATCTTGCCTTTCTTCAGTGGTAACACCATGTCTTGCTTTACCGGTACCTCCATAGGCACCCATGAATTCCTCAAATGTGAGGTCAGACACATCTTGGACTTGGTTTACTTCCACTTCTTCATCTACGTCGTGGTCACCTTCGAAAGACGCTAGCTGGTTATGGTGTACGATCATCGGCTTTCCTCTCGGAATCTTGCTTATTCGGTAAATGACATCATTGACGGTAAATGACAGCATTTACCAAAACTGCTACAACTTGAGAGAACAACCTTTTCGCTTTTTGGGATTATAGAGCCAGACTTCGTCGTGCTTCTGAAAACACCCCTTTTCGGCTTGCGTATCGTACCATTTCTTCATTCGGTCACTAGCGATCTGGATATGGGAACGGACCAACTCGTGTACATCGTCCATTCTTCTTCGTAATTCGATCACATAATCTTCACCTGCTACATCTTCTCCAGGTCGACACCCAATCTCTAGATCACAAGATAGTCGCATCTCGCGTCCGAATAGGCTGGTGTCTGGCCTGTCGATTCCTTAACAGCAGATCTGTAGGCCATTGTGAAGAACGGAAGATATTGATCAAAGTCTCGCTGATGATCGGACACCATCTTTGTCAAATACTTGCCAACTGTCCTATTCATCCGTTCTACCATACCATCCGATTGCGGATGATATGCTGTAGTTCTTGTTTTCTTCATGCCTAATCTATCTCATATTCCTTGAAATAGATCGCTTTTGAAGTTCCTGCCTTGGTCACTATGGATCTCCAAAGGCACTCCAAATCGGCTGATTTATTCTTGGATCAAATTATCTGCAACGGTGGTGGCCTTCTGATCTGGAAGTGCGCAAATCTCGACCCACTTAGTGAAGTAATCCATTACTACCAACATGTACTTGCCTCCATTTTCACTTTCTGGAAATGGCCCAGCAATGTCTAAAGCTATTCTTTCAAACGATCTTCCAACATTATATTGTCTCATAGGAGCTCTCCTTTTTCGATAAGGCCCGTTACTCGTAGCACAAATAGTACATTTCTTATACATATATCTTACTCCAATAAAACCGTTCCCGAATTCGCTGAAGGGTCTTCTTTACACCAAAATGCCCTCCTGATGGACTGTCGTGTAAATGACGAAGTACTTCGGCTATTCTGCTCTTTGGGATCACCAACTGTCTTCTCTTCTTTGAACCGTCATCATTTTCCAGGACTCGTTTGAGCAAGCCATCTTCATGATAAATGAGTCCCACTGGGCCCAATACGTCTTAACTGCTGAGCATAGGCTTGATATTTCTTGCCAAGGTGGTCGACGGTTTTCCTCTTTCATTTTAACTGGGAATAAGCCGCAATTAAAGGTAAAAATACGTTTATTGACGTTTCAATTTCCACTTCGGAGGAAGCAGGAGTTAATGGGGAGAGATTATTTGGATCATGGGATAAAGGATGAACCGGTCGGGAATTTATTACAACTTCCATCTGCACAAGCAACGAATAAAATTCCTCGAACGTTAAGTGCGCGTTTACTAAAACTCTATGTATATGATGCTTAACTGTTCTTAATCCGCCTTCCCACAGTCCGGCAAAATGTGGATAATATGGAGGTATAAAAAAGGATTCTCTTATCGCGGAAGTGTACAGCTCTAAAAATTCTCTTAACGCTTTTAACTCCGAACTAGCTGCTATAAAATTGGTTCCATTGTCGGAAACCGTCTTTTGAGGCTTGCCTCTTCGCGCAATAAATCTTTTAAAGGCCAACAGAAATGATTCCTTAGACAGTTCCGTAACTAATTCTAAATGTATGGCCTTCGTACAAAAACAAATGAAAAGACACATGTAACTCTTTATTAGTTTACAACCTCGACCCTTTCTATCGCGAATTAAGAAAGGGCCCGCATAATCTACACCTGTTACAATAAACGGTGGGCCACCTGCGAGACGCTGGGCAGGTCATCATCATCATTTTAGTTTTACAACCCTGTGTGGGTCCTAGCCTCCCCAAGAATTCTCTTCCAGTCGTCCCTATCCATCGCCTTCCTCCGCCAAGCACGTATTTCCATATTTCTCATATCTTGGTCTATGTTATCTAGGAATCTTGTTCTGGGTCTTCCTCTTCTACTTTGACCAATAGGACGCTGGGCAGGTAGGTCACCGATTATTGGCTGAATGAATTCAGATTTTAATCGAAAACATTTTACACATTTGTGTACGGTACATCGCGCTAAATGTCTTCCTGATAACGGCCAGAAAGTTTCCCTTATCGTTGCAAGTAAAAGCTGAGGACCAGCATCCATAAGATCGTTGGGAAAATGATCACATATTAACGATGTAACTACATGATCTGCCGCTAAAATGATGGATGTTTTTTGTCATACGCAAACTCGGAATGCTTTAAACGCCCGCCTACTCTCATGATGCCCTGATCATCAAAAATGGAGATAAATTTATGAGTTTGCTGTTTTTATCTAGAGATCCCTCTTTGTTCAAACGCTTTATTTCTTTAGAAAATGACTGTGATTGACACAGTTTTAAAATACGGTTAAATGGAGAATGTATTTCATCGAAAGAAAGGGGTTCAGAAGTTCTTTCCTTATTTTTACACATGCGGATGAATCTGAACACATATGTAGCGGTTCTTTTTAAACGTAAAATATTAGAAAATCGCTCAAATGAAAATACTTCCGTATTCTGTGTTTCATCAAGTTTGTTGGTAAAAACCCTTATATTTTTTCTCGTTTCGCTTGTTTCAGTAGGAGCAACTTGTAAATTTGGCCATTTATCTGAATCTTGCATTAGCCACTCCGGTCCATGCCACCATAAGTTGCAATCCATTATTTTATCTGGATCCACGCTTCTGGACACTAGATCTGCAGGATATTTCTTGCCTGTCACATGCCGCCACTGCGCAAACGAAGTGGTTTCCTCTCTGAGGACTAAATACTATCGAAGAATCTGTCCAGAGGTAACACGTATTAAATTGCACATTTAATGAATTTTTGACCTTATTGGTCAAACGCGATAAAATGACTGCTGCACAGAGCTCTAAACGCGGTAAGGTAACTGGCTTTAAAGACACAACCTTGCTTTTCGCACATAATAAGAATGCACCGCTTTTTTTGAGGAGTCGCAAAATCCATGAAGTTCTAATTTTACCTCACGATAACATATAACCCAGATATGGGATCATCCCATGTAAGACGCTCTAGCCATAGTTTTTATAATATAATTTTCGCTATGATGGTACACGCACTTAATAGACCCAAGGGATAAAAAATTTGAGCTATGTTCGATA